GGAAAGCAAACCTAGAAGTGAAAGCAATCTGGGGACAGATTTTTCTTTCACTTTTTCAGTCTTGTGGCTTGGAACATGAAAGTATATTGAAGGTTACCTTCGGTCAGTATGTCTACAATTTTGCACAAACTTCTGTCTTCTATTCTTTAGACCAGGGATTGTCCACCTGGTCCCTACTGCCCACTGGTGGGCGTTTCAGGATTCTAGGTGGGCAGTAGGGGGTTCTACGGCACGAGCTGAGTCCTCCTTCCATTGAGCACTGGTGGGCGGTAAGGAAACTACCATCAAGAAAGATGCCTTAGTGGGTGGTAGGTATAAAAAGGTTGACTGCCCCTGCTCTAGAGAGAGAGAGAGATGGAAGCACTTTTGTATATAAGGCAAGGTTCCCAAAACTTCATGGCTGCTTATTCTAGCTGCTGAACCCCTTTCATTCACATATAGACAAAAGGAACCCCCAAAATAGTTAACTCAGGGCTTAGTTCTCACAAAGGTACATAAAGTTTCCTACACAGAGAACTGCTGTATTTTTCCATCTATAAGATTGCCCCCATGTATAAGACGCCCCCTGTTTTTTGGGACACAGATTTAAGAAAATGGGGGGAAATGGCCCTGTGTATAAGATGCCCCCTAATTTTTGACATTATTTTTTAGGGGGAAACCTAGTCTTATACACAGAATAATATGGTAGATTATATGTGAGAAAGATAGACTTGAATAATACCCACCACACACATTTTCTGTTACTCTGTTATTAGGGTATACTTGCAGGAAATAAACATTCATATCACTGCAATTCTAAGCCTCAATCCCACATAAATGGAAGATCCAGGATCCACTGAGCTGCAGGATTAACAGTCAAGCATTACCCTTCACCAGGAAAACTGACACCATCACTTCCTAACATCTCAAACCTATCCTCTGAATCTGAAAGGCTACCAGCTTATAGTACTAAACCCATGTGGAGAGCTGGAATGTAACAACACTAAGAGGATTATGTCCAGTCACATGCCGTTATAGTTCCCATCTAAAGCCACTGCTTGTCACAGAGGACCAAGTCCTCTTTAAAGAAGTGGGAAAAGTGATTTTGCTCTTTACTCAAGATAAAAGTCATTGTATATGAGCTTGCTGCTCTCCTAGTCTACTCCTTCAACCTCCTCTGAGCTCCTTCAAGCGACACACACACACACTTACTTTACTGGACTTTTACTTTCCAAGATCACTCACTAATCTGGAAGTATCTTAAGTCTTATTTCTTCTACGTAAAGAGGGATTTATTTGACCATGTTGACACTATAATGACAGGGGGGATTATGGAGCCATTTCTGGAAACAGGAAAGGAGGTTTCGTGACTTCTATTCCAGGAAATCCTTTGTAAACATCTTTGCTGATTCAGTTCTTTGCTTTCATTCTTTTATCTGAGCAAGCTCAACAGCACTGCCTTTAAGGCTCATCCACACTTCTGCTGGTCCCGTGCCTAGAAAGCAAGGATCTGAGCTGTTTTCCCTGCTGCTTTCCCCAGGAAAACTCGCTCTTTACTGCTAAATCTGAGCAAACATCAGTCCATGGAAAACCCAACTGATGTTTGCTCCGATTCAGTGGTAAAGCGTGGGTTTCCCCTGGGGGAATGAGGCAAGAAAAGCAGAAGTGTTTTTGGCATATGCAGGGCTTTTTTCATTTGGAACTCACCAGAACTCGCCAGTTCCGGCCCCTCTCAGGCGGGTGCCATTGCCATTATAAGAGAACAAGGGAGGCGTTCATGGTGAGTTCCGGCACCTCTTTTTATAGAAAAGTAGTACTAGGCATTTTTATAAGCCATCATCTATATCCATAAATCTATTTCTGGAGATCTTGCCAGTGTCTAGCAGTATGACATGCTTGTACATTCAAATTAACATTTTCCAACACTCCCGTCAATACATTTCTTCTGAATAGCTTAGGAGACTTGATATTTGATCCATGTTTTCCATCACTCTTCTCTTGGGCATGGTTGGGGACTTCAATCAAGACAATAATACACTCAAACACTGTTGTATTTTAAAATATTAATACAGTAAGTTACAAGCCTCCTGTAAGATAAAGGAGCTTACAACAAGCTAACAGATTCAGAAGTCATTTTTCTGGAACACAGTTTACAACTTCCCTGTCTAGACTAAGATGCCTGATCCATTTTGGCCCCACTTAACATCAGCCCGTGTCATTCATGTGTGCTCTAGAGCAGTGTTTCCCAACCTTGTGCCTCCAGCTGTTTTTGAACTACAACTCCCATCATCCCTGACTAGCAAGACCAGTGGCAAGGGATGATGGGAATTGTAGTCCAAAAACAGCTGGAGGCACAAGGTTGGGAAACACTGCTCTAGAGCAGTGTTTCCCAACCTTGTGCCTCCAGCTGTTTTTGGACTACAACTCCCATCATCCCTTGCCACTGGTCTTGCTAGTCAGGGATGATGGGAGTTGTAGTTCAAAAACAGCTGGAGGCACAAGGTTGGGAAACACTGCTCTAGAGGATGCATTGAACACCACACCAAGGCAACCATTCTACTGGGGCAAGCAATCCCCATCTCCTGCTCACTGCATGCTGCATGCTGCTACAAGGGTTCTCTTGAACCTCTTTCCAAGCCAATTTTGGGGGCTAGTTTAGGAATCTAAACTAGCTCTAACAATCCACCCTCTGTTTAAAAACCTCTAAGGAAGGAATGTCCAGGACCTCTCCTGGGAGTCTGTTTCACTGTCGAACATCTCTTCCTGATGTTTAGTCAGACTCTCCTTCTTGTAACTAGATGCCATTGGTTCGGGTCCTAACCTCTGGAGCAGGAGAAAGCAAGCTTTCTCCATTTTCCATGTGACAGATTTCCTCTCAAGGCTCTTTCCTCTTTTCCAGGCTAAACATACCCAGCTTCTTCAACTGTTCCTCATAAGGCTTGGTTTCCACACTCTTGAACATCTTGGTCACCCTCTTGAATCCCACCCTTGATTTTAGTGTTGTTTGGGGGGAATAAAAAACAAATGCCACTTTTTTTTTTGGTCCAAATAATTTTTATTGGTTTTCATGTAAATGCAAGAACAACATATAACTACAGTAACTTGCCCAGTGGTACATTCTTATTAAGTTCCATATGTAGCACACAGTACGCAAGCAATATGTTTATTTATGCATTATCGATTCAAGCATCCTCTCCACAGAGACTCTTGTATTGTGGGTGGAATAAAAGTACCTTTTGTCTCATTTATAAACGAAAGGAATGGAAGCCAAGTCTCGCCAAAAGTGTCTTTAATTACCCCTCTGTGGCGAGTAAGGCGTCATGATAGAGCCACATTCCAAATATTATTTACCCAGATTGCAAAAGGAATTTCTATAGGTTGTTTCCAGTATCCGACTATTGTTAATTGGGCTGCTGATAATAGAAAAAATACTAAGTCTTTGCATTTAAAGTTATTGTTTAAATTTAAGTCTAATGATAACAAGACAAGAGTTGAATTGGGTAACCCAACCCCACTCCCTGAGATCATCACCACCACTGCTTGATGTACCCATCACTGGCTGCTGCCGGCACTCCTCCGCTGGAAGGGAAAAGGCTTGCACAGTGTGCACTTCCTCCCAGGATGACCCCGGCGTGCAGCTCCCTGGCCTGCTCCCGTTTCCAGCCACTCATGAGGCTGTGAATGGCCTCCTTGGGTCTCCCAGTCCCTTCCTGCCTTCCTCCTGTGGTGGCGGCCATGGCAGTGGTGGCCATTGTGTGATGCTCAGATGCGAGGCACCGCTGCATTCTTTCCTCAGCTCCGGAGAGGGGTGAGTTTCTTTGCTCAGCTCCCCAGGCCTCTGGGCTCTGTTTGGCTGCTGCCTGGGCAATCCGGGGTTGTTGGGGAACAGGGGGCTCCAAGTGGCCTCTTTGGCTCTCACATTGGGCTCCCCTGGCTCTCCCCCTTTTGCAGCGGTGGTGGTGGTGTCGGTGGCGTGGGGACCAGCCAAAGCATGTAATTGTTGTTGGTGGTCCCTAGCAGCTCTGTGAGGCCGTGGCGATCGCCATCTTGCCTCCCCTTTCCTCTCTTTTAAAAGGGATTTTTCTGTCTCCGTCCCTCTTATTTTTATTTTGTTATTGTTTCATTTCATCTACATTCTTGTCCCCTCTCTCTGCCAATTTGAGGAGGCAGGAGAGAGCTGAGTATACCAGGACCCAGAGCTAGGGAGCTGGTTAAACTCTGCCTCCAAAGATTTTAACCTTTTAACTTTCAATTTTTGGTTTATTCCTTCAAACCTTAATTTGTATTTAATTTAACCAGAGCACAGCAGCTGGTTAAACTCTGCCTCCAAAGATTTTAACCTTTTAACTTTCAATTTTTGGTTTATTCCTTCAAACCTTAATTTGTATCTTGATTTTGCATTTTTAACTCCAAAGAAAGAGGGGGGGGATCTTTACATTTTGATTTTTTAACATCACCTCCCATTTCTAACTTGATTCTGTCTTGAAGTCTGACTTTTATCTCCAAACCCCTACTCCTACTCTTGCACTCTTTGCCCTCATTCAATTCTTCCCTTCCCCCTTCCTTTTCCTTTTCATTTTGATCTTTATCCTCTCATTCTATTCTTCCCTCTACACTGACACTTCCCCTCCCCTTCTCCCCTTCCCTTATATGAGTGCATAGATACACACAAACAGAGACACATACTAGGGTTGCCATATGTTGGGTTAAAGGTCTGATCAGCAGTCTGATCTGCACTTCAAAATATAGCAACCCTAAATTAGAAATTCCTAAGCAACTCTTTTGCTTAATCTAATTAGCTGCTTTATTTTTTCCAGCTGTGTTTTCTCTTGCTGAAGAGATATATGCAAGTTAACATTAAAAAAAACTATGTTCAAGATTTCTGGATCAAGTTAATAGAACTAACAGAAACCAACAGGTTAACAATAAGGGCATGTTTTTGGTTTTTTAAAATCGTAACCATAATCATTCACTCTCAGCATACCTTGAGCATTTATTCAGTGTCCGCATACAGGACTTACCTCAGAATCTTTGTCCAATTTGTCTCTAACCACAATTAAGTTGTACAATATCCGGTCATCATCCGCTTCTGTGTGGGAGATGTCATGAGGGGCACTCCACAAGTTTTTCTCTTCATCCCATGCCTGAGTTGATCCAAATGAAGCATAAGGATTGTTATTACTGAAATACAAGAAAGAAAGAAATGGAAGCTCTGTTAGCAATGCAGCTTTGAAATAATGATGTAAATCATATGAATTGCCAGCATCACTTATATTTTATATCACTTCTAGCTTACAAGAAGGCATGCAATTTTAGTATGTGGTTTTATTATTTTATGTATATTTTAAACAACTGATTTAACTTATATTTTAATGCAATTTTTAGATTAACTTGCCTTTAATGTTTGGCTTTATCAATATTTCTATGTATGCTGCTTAGAGGTTACGGATGATTAAGCAGGGCCCGACCTATGTTAGAAACCACACATTACACAGCAGATCCAAGATTTATCTTTTATTTTATTCTCCCTTTATACGGCCACTCCATGGCAGGAGATCTCCTGGAAGCTCACAAAGCCAAGAAAACTTAATTCTAACTCTTCTCTGCCAACACTTTGATTTTTAGTTAAGAGAAGCCCAGGGGATATGAGGTGGGATTAGGGTTAAGAGTGATTCTCTGCAGGTAGTAAAGCAAAGGCTAGACCAAACCACCTCTCCCCCAACCATTTCCCATGTGAAGTAGTTCAGCCCAGAAACAGATTTCTTCCCTCAGTGAAGGCCAAACTAAATGAGACAACAGGACAGCTGTGATCACCTCTCCCACAAGGTTCTTTAAATCCAGCACTCTGGCTTCTTTTCAGATTGCCTAAAGCAGGTTGCAGAAAGGCTAAGTGCACCACGCTGATGGCAGGAAAACGGTACTTGAGCAGTGGAGAGGCTGTTGAACTTTCTCTCCTAGCACTGCAACCCAGTCCAAATCAGGAGCTCACTTTGTGAAAAACAAGGAGAGCCAAGGCAATGAGAAAATGCACTAGAGCAACTTCTTCTTCAATACTGAAAAGAGAAGCGTTCACTCACCAATTTTTTGCTTGCTTGCTTGCTTGTTTGCACTAACAGTGTGCAAACTGCTATACCAAACAGAAGAAACACGGTCCTCAAATCCAAAGCGTACAAAATTAAGACTAGGGTGATCTCAGGTTTTCAAGATCACAATGTATCACCAGCCAAACATTGTGGGGTCTGGTGATATACCACGATGCATCGCCCCCAGCCCCGTGAGGCGCCAGGGTGAAACTGCCACTGCTCTCGAGGGAGCCAAGGTGCTTTCGTGGGGACGACACAGCTTGTGCCCAGTGCTTGGCCTGGAGGGAACTTGCACTGCTCAGCTGGGGGGCTCCTGCCCCCTGAACAAGCCACATGAGCCAGAGGAATGTGGGGCTTCTGTGCGCTTCTCAGCCGGAGTGTGAGAAGGCTCTCCCCGCCCCCAGCTAAGCAAGCCCCACGTCCCTCCATCTTGCGTATGAGCTGGAGGGACAGGGGGATGTAGCCCACCCTCCCAAGTGAAGGCACCCTCGAGACGGTAGCCAACGGGCAGGCTACCTCTTTTTCCAGGGAGAAGGAGGTAGCCCATCTGACTTCGTGTCAAGGCGGTGGAGGACAAGGCAAGCACACACAGGCCTGCCTCAGTCACCATCACCTTGCCAGGCCGGGAAATAGAATGAGGAAGTCTAACTTACCCCCACCCCTCCATTGAGAAGTCTAAAGGAGCCCCCGCCCTGTGTCTGGCTTGCACAAGCTGGAGGCGAGGTGGTGGCTCTGTTAGACTTCTTCAGCTGGGGCATGCGAAGCCTCCTGCTCCCCAGCTGATCAGCTTCATAGTCATACAGTCATACCTGACACCGGCCCTGGACAATATATTGATATATCGCGCAGGCCTAATTAAGACTAGCAAACTAAAGCAGCTTATAAAATGAGGAAACAGAAAGTGCTAAGTCTGAGTGAATGTCAGATCTTTAAAACTGACTTTCGTATCTTATACAAAGCACACACTTACTCTCTCCATCCAAAGGGATTTTGCTGCAAACTTGCAACCTTTACATTTGGTTTTGTGTATTTCTGGCAATGTAATGTTTCCAAGCCCCCTTGAGCTGGCTGCTTTCAGGAGCATGCCTTGTTTTACTCTTCTTCTTGGCATCTTGAGGAGCATCCCAAGCCAACTATACACACACACACACACACACACACACACACAATGCAGAGGCACTGCTCATATGCACCCCTGTAATGGTTTGGTGCAGGCATAGGCAAACTCTGCCGTCCAGATGTTTTGGGACTACAACTCTCATCATCCTTAGCTAACAGGACCAGTGGTCAGGGATGATGGGAGTTGTAGTCCCAAAACATCTGGACGGCAGAGTTTGCCTCTGCCTGGTTTGGTGCATTCACATGGGAAGAATGGCTGCAAGTGGTGGCTGAGGAGACTGGAAAGGAGCATAAATCAAAGAGGGAAGGATTGGGTTCAACAGTTTGAGACCCACTGTTTCATGGCAGTATTTCATTTTCTTAAATAAATATAGAAGGGGAGCTGCAGCCAATAAATTAAAGACTCTTGTGGCACCATAAAGACAATATTTTCATGGCAGAAGCTTCATCACATGCATTGAATGTTATCCCAAGCTGGCAAGTAGGAATACACATGGGGTGGGGCGGGGGGGGGGAGTTAGAAACAAAGGCAAGGAGAAAGGAAAGGCAAGACACAGAGAATGGCCTGATTCACGCTTCATGGTGGAATCCGCTTCTGCTTTGCTCCTCTACTCTGGGGGAGAACAAACTGTGATCTCTGGCTTACTGTCACATCCAAACTGGGGATTATGGTCTGTTTTGGTCAAGATTGGTAGGCTAATAGCAAACCTTGGGTTAACAGAGTTTGTTTGAAGTGAAACAAACCACAATCTAGGAGCAGTTTTCAAGCCCCCTTGAGCTGGCTGGTTTCAGGAGGACGCGCCCCAACGAGCTGTAAGTCCACATCCAGGATTTTCTGTATCACCATTCACCATCCAGGGGAAAAACTTTAAAGTGCCAATAAGTTTTCCCCTACAGGGCAAACAGTAACTTCAGCCATTTTAATCAGGACAATGGTGGGGGAGAAGAGTTTAATAATAATAATAATAATAATAATAATAATAATAATAAATTATTGGGCAGCTCCCAACAGAATATTAAAAGCATGATTAAAAGCATGATTAAAAGCATGATAAAAAATGATAAAAAACATGATAAATCCGCCCCTGGACCATGGTTCCAATCCAACTCCTGACTCCCAGCTCTTTATATGTCTTTAAAATCTTCCTTTTAAAGACATTTATAAAGAGGGAGACCCTGTTCAATGATCTTCTGTGTCTAGTTCGGCCTCAAGTGTCTCTCTCAGCCACAGCTGATGATTGTGTTAATGTAACCTGGGGTTTTACAGGACCAAATCGGACACTGACTGTTACACATTTTCTCCCACTATGCTTTAGGTATGTTTCATCAAAAGAATAGGTATCAGAGTTTCATAATGTTGTAGTAAGTTATGTTTACAAAAAGAAAATGAAAAGTTTTTGCCTTTAGACAACACTTCTTCTCTGATGAGTTGCTTTGCTCTGCCAGTCCATTTAGGTCTCCCTACAAAATATGGACTTGCTTATAGAGCAGGCATAGGCAACCTCTGCCCTCCAGATGTTTGGGGACTACAATTCCCATCATCCCTGACCACTGGTGCTGTTAGCTAGGGATCATGGGAGTTGTAGTCCCAAAACATCTGGAGGGCCGAGGTTGCCTATGCCTGTTATAGAGAATAGTATAAAATAAATGGAAATCATTTGGCACACCCTGAACAGCTAACCTTTCACTAACAGCTGTTGTGAATTTATGTTTCACTCTGTTGCTTTTTAAAATAAATTCTGCAATTAGAAGCGTGAGTAATTTCCATTAGTATCCACTTGGAGAATATAAAATAACAGAGAACTGTATTTTCAGAGTAAGGTACTGACATGCCTTTAGAAATAATGGGTTTGGATTAGTACATACCACTTACAGAACCTCAATTAAACGCTAAACAATTCATTTAGGTGCACTGCCACGACAAATTCACCAGAGTATAGTTGGATAAAGGCCATGAAACAGTTATTCTTTAATGGGCCACTTCAATTAGGCAGGAACGTTTTCTCTAGTTCACATTTCTTTAAAAAGCCAATTATACTAATCCCATTTCACCAGGACTCACTTAAGAGGCCTAAAGTGGGAATGAAAGAAGCCTGTCTACCCACTAGGAAAGCACAAGGATGAATAAGGTGCAGAAATATTTTGCCCCACACAGGTTCTAAATAGGACAGTTACGTGATCAAGGAAATCCTAGTTTAATTAATCATGAGCTTTAGTACAGATTTCTAGGATTTAACCGAATCTGCATAACGGTTCATATGAATAAAGCAAAGGCTTGACAAAAAAAAATCAGATTTCTATTGCAGCAGGTACTACTATACACGCACATAGGAAAGAATATTATTGTTGTGAGTAGTAATATTAAAAGTTCATATCAATTAAATGCTGCAGCCTAAGTCTTAGGAAGAGGTGGGAAAGACGTTACCATCACCACTTTATTCCATTTACTTACCCTATAAACATTATCTTCAAGTACCATTTTAAAATGTTTGTGTGATGACCCTGCAAAAAAATGTGCTGCTTGGAGACTGTTTTGTATCAACATTCAGTAATGTTTGCCTAGTTTGCAAACCCCACTAGTTATAGTAGTAAATTACAATTCCTCTACACAATTTCCTTTGTAAGGTCATTATTAGTTAGCTCACACTGATAGTTTTAAAGCCTTACTAAGGAAAGATATTCTATTACAAATCTACTAGATCAACTAGGAAGACTTCCCTAAAACAAACTGCAACATGTGCAAATTAAGAGATTTTGCACAGCATACTCTAAAATTTATAGAGCAGACGTTCCTGTATGAATACTGCGGCTTCTTTTGTCTGCCAAAGTGCTAATGGGCTGGAGAAGGGAAGAGCTCAGAGCTATACAGTGGTACCTCGGGTTACATACGCTTTAGGTTACATGCGCTTCAGGTTACAGACTCCGCTAACCCAGAAATATTGCTTCAGGTTAAGAACTTTGCTTCAGGATGAAAACAGAAATTGTGTTCCAGCGGTGCGGCAGCAGCAGGAGGCCCCATTAGTTAAAGTGGTGCTTCAGGTTAAGAACAGTTTCAGGTTAAGTATGGACCTCCGGAATGAAATAAGTACTTAACCTGAGGTACCACTGTACTCACAACACATCACACTCAAAACAGGTGTTGTGTCAAACCATGAGCATCAGATCAGCAGCACAGGGCATTGCAGGCAGGTAAATCCTTTAGATTCTTCTGCAAGGCATCAGTTACAATGCAAAACAATATGATCAGAGGAATTGCAAGACCATTAAATCTTATGATCATTTTCAAACAAATTCCCTGCACATGAAGTACTTCTGCAGAGGGGCGGAATAAATCCCAGGTGTAAGAGAGAAGAAAGCAGGAACAAGAACTTTCTCCCGACAGCCAGAACATGGGAAGCCCTCTGCAAATTTTTAATTCGGAATGTATAATTGGCTTTATTGTTTGTATTATGATGTTGCAAGATTTGATTTGATTTGCTACCAATTGGAATGTTATTAATTGAAAATTAATAAAAATATTTTAAAAAATAAAAATAAATCCCAGGTGTAATAACTGCACATATCTAACAGGCACCACAGATGGTTTGTATGGTTTTTCTTACTCAGCCCGTACCCAACAGTTTGCCGCCTGCTACATATATGTCAATGATGGCTGGTCAATCTTATGCAAACAAAAAGAGAGTGGAATATAAATGTTACTGTGCTGTACACATACGGCAACACTTCAAAACAAGCAGTGACCATTTTAGGTGTGTCCAATTGACCTGCGATTGTCCTTTAGGACTCAGAACGGGGAGTGGGCGCTTATACGAACTCCGCCAATGTGCATAGGGGCCAAGAATGGAAACACACACACACACACACACACAAAATGGCCACTGCTTGCACTGCACATACATATGCTCACTTACTAAAAGGACACCATTAATCATATGTGCTTAATCCACAAGCTATGAAGGATTTATCCAAATGAGTTGGCATTTGAGGCCTTTTGTTTAAGAAGTGGCAAACTATGAACATTAGAAATCAGTGACAGAATTACAGTAGTACCTCGGGTTACATACGCTTCAGGTTACATATGCTTCAGGTTACAGACTCTGCTAACCCAGAAATAGTGCTTCAGCTTAAGCACTTTACTTCAGGATGAGAACAGAAATTGTGCTCCAGCGGCGCGGCAGCAGCAGGGGGCCCCATTAGCTAAAGTGGTGCTTCAGGTTAAGAACAGTTTCAGGTTAAGAATGGATTTCCAAAATGAATTAAGTACTTAACCTGAGGTACCACTGTACATGAATGAACAAATAGCACTTGGGTGTGGGGCATGACACCGTAGAAAGATGTATTACTCATACTTGTGAAAGCCGCACAATTTCGTAATATGAAAAAAATAACCCACAACACAGTGTCAAGTTACTTTCCATTTTGTCAGTGCCTTCTTCCAAAAACACTATTCAAGTACCAATAACTCCTGCCTGAAAAAAGCAGCAACATACCCACCCACCCTGGCAAACCAACCAGGAATATTATTGGCCAGAAGCACAAATATCCTTTGAGCCTCACAAAGGGCATTCATTTACAACCCCATACTGTGAAAAGACAGAGCTGCTGTCTATGGGCACAAATAGGAGCATGCCCAGCATAAGCTCATGTTTCATCCTGTACAGCAAACAGGAGAGTGGGTAGTCAAGTTCTGCCACTTCCTTGGTTAGAGAAGAATTGTGGCACATACATTGTTCAGTCCAGTGATAACTGCCAAACGGCACCTTAAACCCCGGTTATGGGCACAACAGAATATCTAGGCGCCTTTTTTTACATGAGATTTTATTATTATTACTTTCACTTTACAACACATTAAAACATCAAATAAAATAATCCAGAATAAAAGAAATTCAAGTTTCAAGGAAAACAGTTCAGATCCTTCTCTAAGTGAACTCTAGGGAGCCAGTGTGGCGCAGTGGTTGGAGTGTCACTCAGACTAGGCCCTGGGAGATCAGGGTTCAAATCCCCACTCAGTCAGGAATCTCACTGAATGACCTTGGGCCAGTCGTAGCCTCTTAGCCTACCTTGCCAGGTTGTTGTAGGGATTAACTGTGGAAGGGGTGAACCATGTGCTCCCTGAACAAAAAAGTGGGGTATAAATGTAGTATACAAGCTCTTCTGCTTACTGGCTTAAGAAAGCTGGAGAGGCCAGCCAGAGACATCAGCCGCCAAGCTAGCACCCAGAAATCTCCACATGGTCGCAATTGGACCTGCGCCAGTCACAAAACATGCCTAGCTAGTTTCAAACACTCCTGCTCACAAGCTGCTACAAGTCCCGGGTTGGGAAACACATGATGTAGTTACTTTGCTGGAAGTAACGAAACTGTGTCTCGTTAGTGGACGGAGGGGAGAATGTTTAGAAAGCCAAGTGAGTTCCACTTGTGGGGGAAAGGTAGGCTGTAAGTATTATACGGTAAATCCCATACCAAAGCTTGGATTAAAATTACAATGAATGACAATCCTAGCAACAAACATCTCTATTCAGATAACATGTCATGCATGCTACAATTAAGGAACCTTAACTACGGTTTGATGCCCTGTCCACAAGCTATGACCGTCACACTATCTCCTCAGGCCATGAACAAGGGAGTGGGGCCTAGAAAGTTTTGAGTTCTGATAGAAAGAGAAAGCAGATCAAATGCTCTAAAGTTACTGTGTTTGCTCGAGTCCTGCCTTGGGTTCTGAAATAGAGTCAGCACTGTTCATGGTTTGACATGTTGGCCAAATGGAGCCACGGGCAATTACTACTTTAGGTCTCAACACTGTTTTATAATGAGCAATTATCATTTTATTGTAAGTATTTATAGTGTACCCTTCACCCACAGGCCACAAGACAGAAATGCGCACACTTCAAAAACAAAGCAAAAGCAATCAAGTTAAAACATAAAACAAAATACAGGATTCCAGTTACGAACTGAATGAGACAAGAACCTCACTATTCAAAAATGTTTGCTACAAATAATTCCCACAAAACCTACAATTCTAGCCTTACTTACTTGGAAGTCTAAATAAAATCAAGAATCAGGCTAATAGCACAATAAACATTATCTAGGGTTAGAAAGGTTGTACACTGCCGTTCTAAGCTCTCTTGAAAAAAATAATAATCATACCCTGAACAGATATGCACAAGATGATTCTAGGTTTGATCATTTTTCATTGTGGTATGCTTTCTTGACATCAGCTTTGTTCACACAAGCAGTGCCTCAAGTTATTTCTGTAGTAATCACACATAGAGTTTCTGAGTCCTCAGCCCCAACACTGTGTACTCCTGTGTATGTCTGAAGCCCCAATGAATCAAGACCCTAAATTCCCGGCCAATGCATTTAGAAAGGCCTCCCTGTCTTAATTTGAGCTTCATAGGGTGCCTTTTGTGTATACCAAATTCTGTACTTTTATCATAAAAGTACAAAATTCTTATTTACTGGAGCTTGGCTGCTGAACTATTCCATACACAGTTACCCATGCGCAAATTAAAACCCCAGAGTGTGTACCAATAACCTCCATCCATTGAGGATGGCTACAAACAGGTTGCTCATCACAGCTGTTTGTAATGGCTGTGGGGATCAAGTTGTCTGTAGCGTCCAGCCAAGTTAGCCAGGCAAATTGCACCATGTACTCACAACTAATCTGATAAATGGAATAGCAAGAACAAAATACAATTTGGCTCACTGTATAAAAACATGCTAGCCCTCATCCCACTCCAAACTAGACAATATTATTATTGTTTGGAAGCATTTACCCCTGTGTATCCCCTACTGCCCAAACACAGGTTTACCACCTCGGTGAAACTAGGCCCAGGAGTATAGCGGCTTGGTGGCAGTAGTGTGCCAGTCATTCCACAAACCAGAGCAAACTAGGGCAGATTCCAGCCCTTAATTCCACTTTCATGCATCATTTTAAAAACCATTTCAACTTCACTTCTCATGCAAAGGTGTTTCTAAGGCTAGATGAATAGGCATTACAAGCAAGGATAGTCTCTCCAGCAGACACCCAACAGATCATCAACATGCATCATGGGTGTAGCCAAGGGGGACAGGGAGGGGCAGCTGCTCCACCAATTAATAAAAATACACAGCTAACTGAGGTTCTGCCCCCCAACAAAAACCCTAGCTATGCCCATGTGCATCGTAAGCAGTTAGCAGAACACCCCAGGGAGATGGCAAAGATGCAAACAGAAGACGCAAGCAAGCAATGCCCATCCAGCTCAACAATTCAAATGTTATTGAATTCTTCTGGTTGTTGAAATTTGAACATGACTTCAGCATGTGCCAATCGGTGCTAACATTGCTTGGGGAGCTGGAAACAACATGACAGGGGTATGCTCGGATGAGGAGCAAACAAAAGTAGCCATGTGATGACAGAAGCCAAAGTGTGCACTTTAAAAATGCACTAAAATGCACACCAGTTTTTTACTTAATGGATATGGCACACTAAAAGGAAATCCGGAAGTGAAAAAGTACAGGCTGGCGTTTTGAAAACGTCATGTGGATGGTACAAAAACTTGTACGACGACTCCCTAATAGACCTCCATTTGGAAACCTACATGGCAGCTCCACAGAAGCTCCACGTTCCGAGGCAGGATACATTCCGGGGAGGACGGCTGCCTTCAAGCCGCGTTTGCAGGCTTCTCGGCGGTACCTGAAAGAGGATGCTGACCAGGTGGAGCCACCTCCGCGGCGCAGCAATCCAGGAGAGCCAGAGGCGCGCGTCTGCCACTGCGCCGGGTCCCGCAGGGAAGAGCCTCATCGCCGGACAGGCAGGGGCCACTCGGCCAATGCGCCCCCGGCAGCCTCGGGCTGGCGCGAAGCAAATGCTTGGAGGATGGCGGCTCGGCGGCGGCGGCGCAACCCGTTGCCCCCTTCCTCCCGCTTACCTGACCAGGGGCTCCTTCTCTGGAAGCGCCGCGTCGCCCGGGCATCGTCCTCGAAGGCAGCCGCAGCAGCAGCACCAAGCCTCCAGCCAGTCGCTCAGCCCCATGGAAGAGCGGCGGAGACGCCCGCCCGGCGCCCGCAAGAGCCTCGCTCAGCTCCTCCGCGCCCGAGCGCGCAGCACCGCCCGCTTCATGCTCGCCCAAATCCCCTTCGCGCTCGGCGAGGCGCGCGAGCACCCGGCTCCTGCTGGCCGCGGCCGCGCGCGCTCTCGCGGCTGCCACCTCCCGGGGGAAACCGGAGAGGCTGACGAACGAGACTGTCTCCGTCCCCGCGCACCTCTCTCTCGGGCGCTGCGCTGCTCACAATCCGGGCTTTCATTTGCGCCGCCGCGCAAGATCAAACTGGAAGGAAACATGAGCCCAGAGTCAGCGCCTGGACCCCGGAATCTCACACGGCTTGGCGAGGGGGGGGGGGTGAACGCAACAGCAATGCACACCTGGCACAGAATCGGACCTTTCCATTTCTGCCATAATGGCTGCTCTCTGGCGTCTCGGGTCTAACAGAAGAAATTTAGCAATGGTTATTAACCATGGAATGGAACCTCCTTGTTCAGAGGAAATATACTTCTGAAGGCCAGTTACTCGGAGCCCCTGTCCACCAGCTTCACAAAAACAGCTAACAGCTGGCCACAATCTGAACCAGAATGCTGTATTAAATGGTCTTTTGCTCTTACCGAGAAGGGCTCTTATTAGATTCTAACATAACCTTTCATTGGTTACATCCTATTGTGTCATGTTATTCATCGTTGACAGATGCAGACACACAGATATTTTTTTAAAGATACATTCCCATCCATCCCATGGGCTCAGAGTAGCTTACAGCTCCTTTTCTAAAAGTTAATAGTCCTGCCACAATGTTTTTACTTTTAAAAAATCACATTTTCATTCATTTTTATCATAAGAAAAAGAGTATACAAAAATATAACAACTGAAACATAGTAGGAAAGATGCAGCCTGCGCATATAGGGTGTCATTTACATTATAAGTATATTTGATCAGAATTTATTTATTGCATTTAAATCCCATCTCTTTCTCCAAGGAGCTCAAGATGGCACACATGGTTTCCCACCTCCCTACTCATTTAGTCCCCACAACAACCCTACAAGGTAGATTAGACTAAGATGCAGTGATTGGTCCAAGGTCATCCAATGAGCTTTATGGCTGAGTGGAGATTTGAACCCTGGTTTCCCAGGTCCAGCACTCTATAATCACTACACCACACAGGCTTTCACTGACAGAATGACAATCAGTGAGAGGAATTATAGCAGTTGTAATTCAAAAAATTGTTTTTCTATTTAAACTTTTTTTAATATAGTTTTTATTCATTGTGAAATCACTTGGAAGTGCTTCAACGGAAGCATGAAATGAAATAAACATCTGGATGGCATCAGGTTGGGGGGGGGGTTCATTCCAGAAACAGCCACTGATAACAGAATAAATTAGCATGTGAAACTCTTGCACCATGAAGATAAATGTAATCATATTATTATGAGGATTTTGTGGGGGCGGGTAGTCTGTATACCATGACCCTGCTAATGCCTGGGGCCCCTTCTAATTCTTGGAATAGTTAGGTAGGCTAGCTTCCTGGTAGGTTTAGGTAATGGGCTATTTTGTCCATGGAGTTTTATATGCCTGTTGTTTTTGTCCAAGGAGTTTCTTGGCAGGGATACAGGTGGATCACGTTTAGTGGTATAGAGCCACTATGACACAATATAGCACCAAACTAAAAACTTCCCTGAACAGGGAAGACAGCTGTCTTTTAAAAATCACATAGCTGTTTATCTGTTTGACATCTGTTGGGAAGGCATTCCACAGGGAGGGTATGACTACTGAAAAGGCCCTCTGCCTTCTTCCCTTTAACCCATGGGTAGGCAACCTAAGCCCGGGGCCAGATCCGGCCCAATCATATTCTAAATCTGGCCTGCAGATGGTCCAGGAATCAGCATGTTTTTACATGAGTAGAATGTGTGCTTTTATTTAAAATGCATCTCTGTGTTATTTGTGGGGCATAGGAATTCATTCATTTCCCCCCCAAAAAATATAGTCTGGCCCCCCACAAGGTCTGAGGGACAGTGGGCCGGCCCCCTGCTGAAAAAGTTTACTGACCCCTGGACCTAGACCATCTAGAACCACAAAATGCACCTCCCTCCTCAGCAGGGAATAAGGGGTGAGTGAACATCTGCATCAGGAACAAGGCTATGGGGGAATAAAGATCTACATCAGGATCTGCTGCCCAGCAGATCCTGCCACCTGAGGCAGTCGCCTCACATTACCTCATGGGTGGGCCAGCCATGAAGGCAAGCTACAAGCAAAGATAAACTAGCCACTGCCTCAGTATCATACAATATTTTGGGGTCTGTCAAATGCAGTGCTCACTACAATGGAGGAGGGAGAGGTGGTTCCCTTCCACTGTTTCCCAGCTGTTCTTGGACTACAACTCCCATCATCCCCGATACCAAGGGATGGTGGAAGTTGTAGTTCAGCAGCTGGGGACCTAACTTTGAAAAACACTGCAAGAGACTCTCCAAGCGCCCCTGTTTTCCAGGGACAGCCTTGATTTGATCCCCAGGTCCCACTTTCCTTCACGATGTCCCTATTTTCATTGGAGAAATGGTGGATAGTATGGAGATATCTGACCTCAGAGGCATCTAAAGACAATCCTGTATAGGGAAGTTTAAAAAAAATGTTTAATGTTTTATTCTGTTTTTATATTCAAGCCAGTGGCTTGAATTAATTAATTTTATAATGAATGATTTTAGAGTGTTGTTTATGCTGTACTTTTGTACTGTTTTATTGTTGTTAGCCGCCCTGAGCCCGGCTTCGGCTGGGGAGGGCGGGATATAAATAAAATTATTATTATTATTATTATTATTATTATTATTATTATTATTATTATTAGTTGGAAGCTGCCCGGACTGTGCGGGGCAACCCAGTCAGATGTGTGGGGCATAAATAGCAACAGTCTCATTGCGGAAGGGCACGTCCCTGTTTCCACGGGAGAAATGTTGGCGGTCTGGGGCAACCTCTCAGCGCCCCCCTCCTCGCCCCCTCCCGCCGCCTGAGAGCCAGAGGAGGCAGCCAAGGGTTAAAAGGAGCCCGCTCGCTCCTTTGCAGTGCGCACGCGCAAACTCGGATTTTCGTCCCCGCGGGTCTCGTGTGTGTCCCTGGCCCCGCTCCCTGCGGCTCAATAAAGTTCTTGTTGCGCCGCTGTCAAGCGTTCACCCCGGGAGCTCCGCCCCCGTTCCTTCCACTTCCGGTTCACGAGGGGGGAGGGGTGAAGGGGGCGGTGTTGCCGCCGCCGCCGCCGCAGCTGCCGGAGGAGCGGGAGCCTCGCCGGGGATGGTGCTTCTGGCGGCGCTGGCTTCTCCGGGCGGCTCGACGGCCTTTCCAGGTGAGCAGCGCCGCCCGCCACGCGACGTCTCCTCCGCGCCGGCCTCCCTCCTTCCCTCCCTCCGGAGAGCCCCCTTCAGCGCCCGGCCGCCCTTGGCTCCCTCACGCCGGAGGCACGAAGCTTCCCCTCACCCCCCCCCCCGCCACACACAGGGCCGAGGGAGGCAGCGCAAACGGAGCGCAGGCGCGCGCGGTTAACCTGCGGGATTCACTGCCGCAGGATCTGAGGGCGGCCGCTGGATTTGGACGCCTCAGGAAACGGGTCGGGGGGATTCGTGGGCTGCCTCGCCCCTTCCCACTCCCAGTGATATGCGCAGGGCAGCTCCGTGGAGGCGTCTCCGTAGACTAGGTGTTGGGGTGAAAACGATGGTGCTGGTGGGATGGCTCCCCTCCTGCCCTGGCTGGTGGCATTGTGAGGGACAGCTGGCTGGCCACCACGGGGAAGGTTCTGCTGGCTTAGGTGGTCTGATCCTCCGGGGACTCTCTTCTGTGCCTGCCCACCCCAAAGAAGCTCCAGGAGCAGAGCATGAAGCAATGGGCACTGTGGTGGAGAGTCTAAGGTCTAGCTTTAGATTTGCCAAACCTTCTTATTTTGTTTTTTAAAAAGCCATTGAAGTTGCCACCACATCCCATCCCAGGGAATTCTGCAAGTGCATTGTGTAGTTATTGGGGCAGCGGTGTTCTGTCTTGAAACAGCTTTCCTGGACTCATGGGTTGTCTCCCCCCAGACAAGTGGTAAGCCAAGAGCAAACCTTGGCTACAGCCAGTGGTTTGTCTGGAGAGAAACAAACCATGAGCTCATGTTCAGACAAATCTTGGCTTACCTTTTGGTAGCATGGCAGCAGGGTGACCAGGGACTGGCAAAGCAAGCACTATTTTTCTTGTGCGTACCTGTGCGTTCATGCTTAACCATGGGTTAACTCACCATTCTGCCTGAACCGAGATATCCTGATTTTTATTCTTCTGTAATCTTATTAGGTAGTTGTTTGAATGTTCTAACTTTTCTTTTTTGAGATGTTACACCTTTGTACTTCTTACGAGCCAATCAGAAGGCTGCTTTGACAGCAGTGTCCATAATGATTATGGTAAGGGACCATAGTTCAGTGGTTGAGCACATGCTTTTGCCTGCCAGAAGGCCCCAGGTTCAATCTCCACTAGAGTCCTGGGTGTACGGATTGGAAAAGCCTCCTGCCTGAAACCCTGGACACCTGGTCCCAGCTAAAGTAGATAGTACTGGGCTGATGGAGCAATAGCCTCACTTACCAGAATGCACATTTCTATGTTATAAGACTGACTTAATGAAAACAGATAATTTATGTAAGGAATTATGTATTTCACAGGTATTGAGCCTATTGCTGTGCATAGGTTATACAAGGATAACTATGCTTTCAATGTAACTGAACCTTACATTTGGAAGAAAATACAAACAAGGTTTTCTATAAAGACTAATTTACTTTTATTTCATGTATGCTTTAGACAGAAGATAGCAGTAATGCTAACATTGGCAAGCAAGCTAAAACGGGATGATGGTGTCAAGGGGCCCCGTTCATCCAACCCAGGTTCTGATTCAACTCGAAGAGTGTCTGTTAGAGATAAGTTACTTGTTAAAGGTAATGCTGCTTTCTATATGAAATATCACTGTTCTCCTAAAATTTAATGCACTGTCTGATAATTGAACTAAATGTGCAGAGGTTAACGGAGTATAAAAAACCCTTTTAAAGAGATAAGTTAAGATGCTTACAAATTCATGAACACGCCAAAAGCATGGAAACTGTAAGTTAAGGATCCACATTAACTTCCATATCATATAAACAATTAG